AGGAGCAGTTTCAAGCTGAAGCGCCCACTCACAGGGAACACATTCCGTATTGTCACAAACTTAGCCCACACAAAAGCAAAGACGCACCTTTTTCCGGGATTACTTTCTTTTCTCTCTCCTTCCTTTCTTTGCACTCAAGGGATTCTTTGTGTACAGTGTAGGGGTAAAGAACTCGGACCTGCAATCTTAAGGTCCTGTGTTCGATCCCCAGCTCAAAATTGTAAATCTTCTATGCCTCTTCCCTCCTTCCCATCAATACAGGTCAGATCATTTAGGAGGAGGCAGGCTGTTTTGGATATCCGGTTGAGTCGGACACAGCATCACTACAAAAAGACGGAAATACTCGATAAAATAACCCCACCTCCTGGGAATGAAACTCACGTCTTTTGCTTGCCATGACGAAGTGCCTGACCATTCCACCACAGACCTCCGACCAAAAACTGTGTCCTAATACTAATACGGGGTGCCCACTACTGATCGGCCGATCGCCCGACTCGATCGCCTCAAAAACACAGTTGTTTGTTTTCAGTTTCTGGCGATCTGCCCGATCCAGCCGTCCCCGTATTAGCAGCAACAGCAATGTTTTTGTTAAATTAGCTGAATTTCCCTCTTTGTAAATGGGTACCGGTACTTGGCAATTGGTAGACCGTAGACCCACAATTTCGAAATTGTCCAAGACGGCCACCTATTGACGAGAAGCGGTTGTCTTAGACAGGTGGACGATCTGGACAGTGTCGAATAAAAACCAACAAAAGGTGAGGGGGGGGGGGTGTAAAGTGGTCGTTTGTACAGGTGATTGCCTTGGACAGGTGGTCATTAGAACAGGTTTTACTATTAAGAACATTAGTGTTTCAACGACTAACACAAATTGCCACGCTGAATACTTCTCAACAAACCCAAGGAGACCGAGATGACATTTTCATGAGCTGGTCGGTGAAGGGAGTTGTGACACCCTTCATAATCATATGGGAAAGATTTTCTTTACGTGACGGAAGTAAGGCTCTATCATTTATTTTTTATTTTTTTCCTGAGAGACGGATGTAAACTGGGTTACCCCTCCATTGCCAGAGTTCTGCACTGCGGCTCCGTGGCTTAATATCAGGTGCACCGTGCAGAGTGTAACGTCTAATCCTACTTGATAAACTGATCATATCATATACAGTCATGTATCATGTACATACATTTGTGAGGCATCGTGGTGAAATACTCGGCGCGTCAAAATAATGAAATCAAAGATACCGGCATTTTTCTGACCGATTGGCAATTTTAATCAAATTTTTGTTATTTGATCTACATCTTTTATCTCCATTTAAAAGCACATTTCTGTGTAAGTTTTATAAGAAAACTTTGATGAAAGGCATGAAAAAGTGTAGATTTTCAGTTTCCAATTACCCTCAAGCTACAAAAGTCACCAAACTTTAGCGGTAATTTTTCTCCCTAATTTCACCTGTGAAACCATGCGACTCCTGCCTTATTGAAACCCAAAATATCTCGACTTTTATTCAAGACAGATGGATGGGTATTTCTTTCATCTAAAGCAACACAAATGAACAAGCTTTAAGCAGATACCAAGAACTTCCTACGCCCAAAAATTGACGAGAGCCTGATTCCACCGTGTCGTGATACATACAGTACATGTAATGTATCATGCACATAATATAGGGTGATGAAAAAACTCACAAAACTTACCAACTTTTTTCCTGAAAATCTCGCACAAAATTTGTACAAGAATGTTGTAATTTGGAACAGATACATTATAATTCAACCAGCAGGAATTTGTTTGACATAAAAATTTATAAAACGAAAACGGAAAAGGCTTTTATAAAAACCACTATAAACAATAAACGCAAAATGCACCAATTAAAATATCTTGTAAAGAGAGTCATGAAATGATTGGTTTGTTGTTTCCTTTCCTTTTTAAAATCGAATCTTTCCATCACAGTAACATTTTAACTATATTTCTTTTCTCTTACAAGAGTTAAAAAGAAATATTTGTAAAATTCTGGAATTCCGAGAACTAATGCCATGCTCTCTATATATGTCATTCTTTGGACTCGACACATTTTAATGCGTCGTTCGTAATGTTCAGTGGTGGCCAAATACTTTGAGTACTCAAAGCCACACATGTGACATACTGTACACCTTACAGCATGGAGCTGTTTCTGGAGACAATAGGCTGTCTGCAGGGTTTTATGCACTCCGCATAATTTAGCACAATTTGATCATTTTGATCATAATTTCTAATTATTTTCCTTTATCATTCTTTGTTAAAATTAACAGAATCGCATAATTTCCCATTTTTGGGCTCAGTTTGCATACTTTCATAATTTTCTTTAGGCCTAAAACCGCGGGGATAGAATAGGGGGTAGGGTGAGGCTGCTCAAATAAACAGCATTTGTGGAGTTAACATACGTCCTGAAAGGTGAATATATGGGCTTTGCCAAGGTACCAAATGTCATAAAAGAAATGTTCACGTTTATAAATAAGTAATAAGATGGAGGAGTCATGAACACACTGCTATCCTCTGATCCATGTCAGCTTCGCGAATAGGAAAATGGTACAGTCACATATGCAGATCTACCTTGAGAATGCAGACCCTTGAGACGTAGAAAAGTTCTAGCTGCAGACATTGTCTACGGACAGGCGTCTCATGGGGCTCGTCCACTGAATGCTGGACCCTGGTGCGAACGGTGTGTGTCTGACCTGGAGTTGAAGCCCAAAGTGGTCATTTTGTCTGGGACTTTTTGTTATGATTCTGTACAGGTCCTAACAGATGGACCATTTTGAGCTCTCTGCTCTTTACTAATCTTAACCATGATCTCAACAGGCAAAGGAAACTTGAGAACAACTATCTGGAAACGTCTGTTGGCCTGTTAGATTACAGTAGCTTGCAATAAGGCCAAATAGTTGGGGCTTTCAGTGGTAGGCCTAAAGCGCACTGGTGTGTCATGCTCCAAAAATGGGGACATAGCTGAAAATGGGTTGTTTTTTTACGCGTTATGTAGAGAAAAACTATTCTGTGGATTTATCTAAATGAATATCAGACAATTTCCCTTTGACTCCAAAATGTTGTGTACAAATTTGAAACACAAAAATTCGGTGTGGAAGGAAATATTTACAAAAAAAGTGTTTCGTTTTTTTGGACCACCCTGTATTTCAGTTTTAACATTTGACTCTTGAGCAATGCCACTGACTTGATAAAAATCTGTCTTGCTCTGTCAAACTGTCCAAGTAGGCCTGTCGCACTCTGCGCGTAAACAAAAAGATCGGACTCTGCAATACGTGGAAACCTTCTGATAGGCTGTTTGCATTTGTTTCTACAATTAAACTGGACTCAATAGGGTCGAGGAAATCAAACATCTCTGATTTTGGAGGATTTCTCATTAAATTGTGCCAATTGGTACATTTGTAGTTTTTGCCCTCCCAGTGAAAGGAAAGCTGGCCTCCCTCATATCCAATTGGGATTTGACTGCTTTCTGAAATGTGCACCGGGTATAAGTCTCGAGTCTTATGGCTTTTTCAAAGTTAAAAACAATGCCAATGGCTAGACCTCCGAACTGACATATGTACTCATCTCCAAATACATGTACAACTGGATTGAGAACCAAAAAGGTAACCCAAACGTCTTTGGCTCCTGATTCGAAAGGTTTGAACATGGACCGTTCTCATCATAACCAGATGATGTTTTTACAATTAAACAAAGAGCAAGCGGTGATCTATAGAGCACCTAGTATTAGTAGTAGACAGAGAAGTGTAAGTAAGCTGAATGCACTGACTTTTACTACAGAAAATCAGAAAACCCACCAATGGACTAGATGGTTGCTGCACGGGTACTAAGCAACAAGTTCGCTACATTGGTTTCACACTGTACAATGTACCGTATTACTAAACCAGCGACTGTGGTGGAGCGGTTGAGCACTTGGCCGTCGCAAGAAGGAGACCCGAGTGGGGAGAATTTTTATATTTTTATCGAGTGTCTCGGCCTTTCTGCTGGGATATTGTATACGGTACTTCTCAGCCTGGGCTGACCCTGACAGGCAAACTAGAAGCCAGACTCCAAAGTGATCTAAAAATAAAAATTGTGTCTATGGGGGAAAGAGGAGGGGCGCGCGAAAAAATACCTACATTAAAAATACCAACAAAAAATCCACCTGAACCCCGGTGTGGATGACCATTGTTAAAACCCTCTATCTTGAACTTCTCGAGTTTTTATTAAGGCTCCTCGCTTATTTACATTGGAGATATCGGTAGAACTAGTAGTGGTAGAAATGTTGACAACGTGACCATAGCATTAAGCTCGGTTCTAAGGTGGAAAATCTTTCGGTTTGAATCTTAATTAGGGCATTTTCAAAACTGGTTGAACTTGTTTCATGAGCTTGCCTGACTGCACGCATTTTCGCTCGTGTCAATCGTTTGAACAAAGAGAAGCACATATGGCACAATATCCGTTATTTTTAGCGCAGGGGAAAAGTTTTTAGTTTTAGTAGAGGTTTTACGGCGCTCGCAACTGCATACGGTTATATGAGCGCCAGAAGATTAGAGGTGTTACAAGAGAGTAACAAACAAAAAAGAAAAAGGGGAGATAAGGACGATAGATGTTTGATAGGAAAGAAGAAGCAAACCACACCAGAGCACCCGCCAACCACCCACGCAGGGGAAAAGGAAAAGAAACATACAACAACAGAGGGGGAAAAGTAGATTCTAGTCCTTCCAGCGGCACCCACTACTCACCTGGCTGGATATCTGAACTTAATGTCCATATCAGATGGTTTGAATTCCCATGTACTAGCATTGAAAGTAATGAAAGTCCTAGGGGGATAGTGAGAATGAGAAGAGTTAAAACATCTTTTTCTGACCTGACATAAGTTAATGACTTCATGATTTCAAACTTGGATGGTGGTAGGACATAAAAAAAAATAATTCATCAACTTAAAGTACTGAAGTACGTATAAGTGTAAATCTGTTCAAATGTATAATAAATTAAAAAGGACAATACAATATTCCATTTCATACTCATGTCTGTACACATGTATTTTATTTGTAAAAGCAGGATCATTTCAAACGTCCAATGGGAATTATTACATGCTAAAACAATTTCCAAAAGCCCCTCATAACATTCCTGGAAGTGGAAGAAGCAAGGCGAAGAGAAAACAAAACTTAACAGACATAAATCAAATCAGCAATGACAATGACTGAGAAACATGTAGTAGAGTCACACATTTTCACAATCACTGGAAATTTTTTAAAAAACAAAAGACAAGACCAAAGATTGGCGAAAGTTTTCAGGGCAATAGTCTCAATGCCATGCCACTTAAATCAAGCTCGATTTGAAAAAATTTCAGTTCCTGCAACGTCACCACAATGATGTGCTAATATTTTATTTCTTCTTAGTAAGAGTTTTATGGCACTTACAACACAATAAGGTCATAAAAGTGCCGAAGATTAGAGGTGTTACAAGAGAGTAACAAACATAAAAAAGGAGGAGAGATAAAGACGATAGTTGTTTGATACGAAAGGAGCAAACCACACCAGAGCACCTGCCAACCATCCACGATGTGCTAATATCACATCTAAAAAGTCAACAGACGGATGTTAACAATTCCCCCAACACACAACAAGTCAAGATGGTCAGAGCGTGAGAGACTCTGGACTTCCAAGAATATCTGACTTACAAGCGCTCATAACAATTAAATAGCTAAGTCTCACCATTACAAACATGACAAATCCTGAACATTACGGATTTTATACTTGATGCATGTATACGACTTAGGCTTTATCAAAACAACCGGGGCTTGTTAAAGAAAAGGCATAAAACCAACAATTCATGACAGTAACAGTTCAAATCAATCAAGCTGATTGCACTTGCTTAACTGAAAGCATAAATCGCTCTGAAGATTACTGGTGCATAATGACTGGGTTTTTTTTAAATAGGGAAGAAGATACATGGTTGAGACAAAAATACATGTGCAGACAGACTAATTTTAGTCTTCAAATATTTTTTAGAACCATGAAACAATAGCCACTTAGTGTAAGGGGGAAAAAAAAGCGTGAGGAAACAACAAAATAATAAATAAGTGGAGGAGCAACTTGAGTGGAACCCTCAAACCACCCACTGAACCAAGAATGTAACCTGACCTCACTGCCACAGAAATAATTCATGTACAATTACGACATTCTTACAAGTGAGCAAAAACTACTGTAAAACAGTAACTAATGTGGTCATTTGCAATTTGATCATTTCCAGATGGTGACAGCAATGTATACAAAATAAAAAAAATAAAAAACAACCCCCCCCCCCCCCAAATCTCTCACATGTCTTAAAAGGTTGTTCGAAAGAAGTTACAGGAAAAGAAAATGCATTGCTTGCAAAAAAGGCAGTTCACAACCTTTGGAGAAAAAGAAAGTTTTACACTGCGTGAACCAACAAGAGAGTACTTAAGGTCTTATTTCAAAACCATCTTAACCATTTAGTGGTATACACTTGACCCTTGAGTTGCTGTGAGGCCAGCTGAGCAGTGACCAGCAAGTGGGAAGGACAGAGGATACTTCAAACAAAGGAGGATGGAAGGAGGGGGTATTGTGTGTGTGTGTGTGTGTGTGTTTGGTTAAGTCAGGACAAAGGGACCCCTGTTGAGGAACTACGCAATTGTTTCACACAGTGAAACAATGGAAACATGGGACTCAGTCACATGACTATGTGCAAAGTAGAGAGAGATACTTTTGTTTTGTAAAGTGTTTTACGGCGCTCAAAATAACTGCATAAGGTCATATGAGCACTTGGGACATATCAAGCATTAGTACAGAGGGAGAAAGGGACACACAGACGTAAACGCTGTAAAATAAACAATTACTCCCATTTCATTTGAGGAAAGAATGAGTAGCAATACTAAACAATGAAGTTAAGGCAGAATATCATTAAAATAAAATAAAAAATAAAAAACAGGCTGAAAACACTTTAGATGCTGCATACTATCACATATAGTAATTTTAATTAAACACAGCGCTCAAATTCACAATAACAACATGAGAACTACTGAGCACATAGTTGTAGATTGCTCTAAAAACCAAAGATAAGATTTATTCCATTAACAAACCTAAATTTACTAATTGTCTGGGCCAAGACAAATGAAAAGCTACAACCAAACTTATCACTGTGTATTTGAAAAATTAGACCATTAAATGATTGTCCTAAAAAAAAAAAATTCAAGAAACTAAACCAAAACTAACAAGCAAAATGAAGACACACAGATATACACATGCACCAAAAAAAAAAAAAAGCTTTCCCATCTTCCCTGCAATATGTCTTTGTTAAATTTCAAACAAGAAACACAATAAGAGTCAATTTAAATATATTTAATAGGTAAAACATCAGATAAAATGTTTCCAGCACAACTAAATGGTTAAAAATGCACAAATGGCATTGCTATGATTTCAATTTCCACTTTTATCTTTCAGAACCTCACAATCTCATGCTTTGTTTAAGCTAAGCATTGGAAAAAATTATAACAATGCTCAGCAAAAGGGGGTTTTAACCACACAAACATCTTGAGGATGGAAACGTTAAAAAAGCTGTGTTCTACGAGTCTCCAGAATTCTGTGCAAAGCCATTCGACTTGGATGTGTCTTTGAAATCATCTGAAAGATGAGAAAAGTAAGTAAACATTAAGTTACATTCACTAATTATGAAAAAAAAGCAGCATAAGCCGGCATACAGAGGAAACCATATATAACAGGCCCTGTAATAACAGGGAATTTTAAAATTAAATCCCAATTTATTTCTACTCTTTGTTTATTAAAAGTTATTGGAAATAACAGGGCCTCATTGGAGCCAAATCGGTTATAACAGGGACAAAGGCTCGCTCGTTAACAATGTGTAAAAAGTAAGAGAGAGAGAGAGAGAGACAGAGAGAGTAATGCAGTGATGGAGCAAGCTCACGCAAACAATTCCACTGCAAGCACACGCAGCGGGTGAAGCGAGAGAGGGCTGCGGTGTGCTGCAGACTTCGACCTAGCCCTAATACTAGCAACACCCATGTGTCATGCGCAGGCCATGGGAAACTACCCATGAATAAATACAGCTGGGTAAGTCCACAAATGCTTACTTCCCTTACATTTCTGATTTCACAGGGATTTTTCTCGGTCCCACCATCCCTGTTATATCAGGTTTCCACTGTAGTTCCCATCTTTCAGTGCAGGAATGAAGCAAAAACCCAATCTAAAAACATGAAGGAATTTCATTCAATATGATATGTCATTTGGACGTAGACAAAATTAAGAGTTTCAGTTGCACTGCTGTAAGTATGGCATAAGTTCATAAGTTTTAAAAATGATTGGACAATCCATATGATACCCACATCTCCCTGCAATTTATCACAGTAGGATTGGGGATTACCCTTGTGCCATTGTGTAATTTTAAATGTGATTTGGACAAGAAATAAAACCGGGGGATGGCAAAGGCAAAAATAAGACGGCCTGGATACTTAAGACCTACAAATCAGAAGAAAATGTCAAGACAAGTGGAATTACCCGCACGAAAAGTAACCAGTAGGTGCTATGCTCAAAGCTGACTATGGAGCGTTTCACAAATAATTCCTGATAAAGGACTTAATTTACGTTAGGAAAAGGTGCTCAACCGAAACATAAAAAAAGAAGAAATACAGAAAGTTTAACATCTTTGTCATTGCCACAATAAGATAAGGAAAAGCCGTTGCTGACTATTCATAGTCTAAAAGTGCATTCAGACCAAACATCTGCGTCCTTCCATCCATCTCATGGACGGCAGACTGATGGAAGCTGACTGGGGATCTCGTGTTCAGTTTGCTAGAGTGCCTTTCAACAATATGCATGTCAACATGAAAGTTCTTGTGGCATGAACAATTTAAGCTAACAACAGAGTGATGATATGATGCTTTGTAAAACATTAATACAGCCTATGGAATGAATTAATATAATGACTAAACCTATAATCTATATATTTGTTTTTGTAATATTCAAAGGGAGGCAATCGTAAATAAATTGGTCAAACAGATGTATACAGAATTACCACCCCCATGATCAATAAAGGTGTATGTGTTCATTAAACCACACAAAGCCAGCAATCGTTCAACAATTTGAAAGTCATACAACAAAAACATAATATTCAAAACATCTCTCTGGTCCCTGCACACTTAAGTTAAAAGCAACTGAAACAAAGAAAGCCCCTCTTCACCACAACAAAGATCAAAAGATCAAAGTCAAAAATAGGAACCACACCACTCTTTGATAAATAAAGAAAAAGCTTTAACCATCCTCCACTCATTTCTCAAAAACGAACTATTTAGGCAAACCACTCAGCATGCAGTGACTTGATATAAACAAGAACCATAACTCAGCCCCAAAAGTCTTTTTGTGACAAAAGGTAGTCAAATAAAAAAAAGGAGGTACACATATTATTCAATAATGATTATGAAAGAAAGATGACGCAAGAAAGCCAAACCAAAGAATTATGAATAAATACCATATTATGGATTATATCAGAACACAGAAAAGAATGGGAAAATGAGTCTTTATATAAATTATTTCTACAAACAAAAAAATCCTTTCAGCCGAAGTGAAGTTGAGCATTTATTGTACTCATATGACAGGTTAACAGTCAAAATGATGCTGGAATTGCTGAACAAACTTCAAAAACTGTCCCGGCAGTTCAAATTTCTTTGGAAACACCAGTTTTGCACAAAACAAACATTTTCAAAAGGAGAAAGGACCATGGTTGTCACTGACGATAAAGTCAACAAAACTAACATGCACCCGTATGTAAATTCAGCTTAAATACATTGTTACCAACTAGGTAACATCACGTCCCTCAGATTAGCAGCACAATATATCCATTCAGATTGAATATACAAATACATTACATATTAATTAACAAAATCAAAAGCCCGAACCACAGGCTAGGGGATCAGAGGATACCAATAGGTATGTCATGCCTAGTGATCTTAGCTTGGCACACTAAATACACTCTTTTTATTCTCTGGTTGCTCTTCGTTTTAGTTAGAGTAAAAAGAAGCAGGGGGGGGGGATAGAGAAGATGTACCATTGGTGCCTTCCAAACCACCTGCGTTCTATAATTTATTTTTTACAATTTTCCATGGCATAAGAAAAAATCCCCATGCGTAACCAGAAAATATAAAACTATCGAGCAATCTTTTGAAAAATACATAATAATTCATTGAAACCAAACTAATTAATATGAAAAGGAAAATTAGTAGCCCATACGCAACCATGCATGCATAATCTGTGTGTATTAGTCTATACAAATACTATGTGGCAAGAGGAAATAAAAATATGTGGGTGTATTTGCATATGAAAACATTACTTACAAATCTGAATAAACCACACGATCCCAAAACTCAAAGACCTGGTGTGGGTAAAATGTTTTTTCTTTTTCATTTTCTCACTAAAAGTAAGGGGTGCCCTGAAGACACTGGCAATGCAGTAAATCATGAAACTAGAGGCACTATGGATGGCAATTACTGCAAAATCATTGAGGATACAGAACATTCATAAACACAAAAACTGATATCAAGATGTATGATTTATAATCATCACTTAAACTGCTACCCGGGGCATGCAACTCTAAAAACATAGCCTGCACTCATCTCAACTAAACTTCAAGACATATTGATACTTTCAAGAGAGTAACATATCACCTTGAACTTCAAAACTCATATCTGAGCATCAACTTCCAAAAATAATTTCAAACTGAAAAATAAAAAAATAAAACATTGCTTGAAAAAATGACAACACGTGTCTGCTCTAAAAGCATAAGACTAGACTCACTGACTGCACCGTGATTTGAGCTTTTACCTCCAACTGAACATCTTTAACAAAAATGAGGAAAAAAGGAGACAAACTCACAAACCTGTTTCTATAACAAAGGCGTCAGAGTAGAAGGTCTGACACTGCATCGTCTGAGCACTGAAGTCTCCTGAACCCCCAAACAAGAATATTTTGTCTCCGACGCAAACAGTACAATGAAGGCCCCGTCCAGCAGGTTGACATCCGGTGATGGTCGTTGGCACCCATTCTTTTTTGTCTAAAAATACAAGAGCACAAATGAAAGAAGTTGCTGTACACTTTTGCCTGTGAAACGTCTACTTCAGCACTCCATATAGTAATTACTTGGCCTACTATGCACTCATCAGTCTCCAATCTCCGGGGTCCAAAATGGGGGTAGCCATGATGATGCACAAAAGATGACTTCAACCTTTTTTGAGAAAGGGATTGGGGGGGGGGGGTTGCAGGTGGGCGTACTCTGAAGAAGACAAGACTTCCACCCATTTGCCAAACCACCATAACGGCAAAAAGGTTTTGGGAGGACATCAGAGTCAAATGAAAGAAATTTCTCTTACTTTTAAATGTTTCCACACCTGTTTATGAAGCAGCTTTTCTTCAGAACTTGTGAAAGGGTAAAACACAAATAAGTATCCAATGGCCTAACTATGAGACAAAACTTAAAAGTTTATTCTTTAATTAAAGCCATATGTCATGGAAACATCACAGATAAGGATTAAATAATAAATTAGTGAGAAATAGTAAATTCTCCATAAATATATTTACAGCACTGTTAGCGAGCTCAAAACTATTAAAACCTTTAAATAATTTGGCAAAATGTAATAGTGCTGCAACAAAAATTTTTTGTACTGGCAGTAAAAGGTGAAATGTCCAACACAGGTAACTTAATAAAAAATGTAAGTTTAATTTATAGTTTCGCTTTGCCCATAGAAAGAGACTAGAATGAAGAAGAAAAAAGACTAAAATGACCACAACGATTTGGAGAAAAAAACCTACCAAAATCAAAAACATCAAAATTGCTGAAATGCTGGTGGTCCCTCCCCCTTCCTCCAAAAAGCACAGCTCTGTTGCCTACTGAAGTCAAAGTGTGGAAAGATCTTGCAGCAGGAGCATCACCGGACACTTTCAGATCAGTAATCCACTTCCGGGTATCTGGTCAATACAAGCATTTTTTTAAACGGTTATACCTGAAAAGACTTAGCACTATTATCTTCATGTTTCATACAGAAAAAAAAGGACAATAGTAAAATCGAAAAGAAAAGAACGGAACAATAACACTAGACTGTCCAGCAGCCACATCAGAGACATGAACTTGTGCTTGTGAGAAAATTTCAAAAGACAAATTGTGAAGCGTCGGGGCGGTTCGGTCTACTAGGTACATCGAGCTGAAGAGCAGAAATTACCAAAAACACTTGCTGGGGCCAAAAATGAGCAAACTTTTATCTGAGTTGTACAGTGTACATTTCAACTACAAAGGCGTTTACAATTTTTTCGGAAAAGGCATTGACAAACAAATTCAATACATTAAAAGGAGAGCCGAAAAAGCTAATTCCAGTGAAAACTTAAAGGACATTAATGTGCAAAATACTACAAAAACTATGCCTTTTAAAAAGAAAAGTAATGATCTCAGGCATATTAGGTTCCTTACCAACATTAAAAATGTGTAGATCGTTCTGCCTGTCTTCTATATCTCTGCCTCCGAAGATAACAAGATTTCTACCAATAGCACACATGCCATGTGCTGCTCTCTGAGTAGGCACTCCAAGATTCATTTGCATTGGTTGGGACCATTTCAGTGTTTCTGAAATTAAAAGAAGAAATTAAAGATCATCTTCAGCACAAGTTGTGAAAGCGTCTTGCCCTTTTCCAACAAGAAAGGAAATATCACTCATCCATAAACACACACATCTGTGAAATGTGAAAAAAACTTAACTCCTTTTATCCGGGCCACGAGTATGCTCGTTACAAGGATCAGTCCAGGCTACAAGTAAACTCGAAACAGCTATACGGTCACGTCAAACAGCCAGTTCTGCTTGCAATTACCAAAATACGCAAATACGGCGAAGTCTGAAAATTACAATTTTCCAATGAACAGCGGTTTGTTTGTTTTTGATGGGTGTAGAAACTTGAAAGATGTCTCCAAAATGCACGTTCACGACTGACGAAGTACTTCTTGAAGTGGCGCTGGGTTGTGAGGGGAATGAGACTAATTTGACGAAAGTGACTGAATAAAGTGCCGTAAATTCCGTTGTGGATGATAATGAATAATGAACAGGAATTAGACTCATCTAATAGCAATTCACATCATGGTGAAGGGACCAGTACTGGAATTCGTGCAGTACTGATGGGTAGGGCTAGATCTATAAATCCAAGGGGATGTCGTGGGGGCGTCAATCAGGGTCAAGTTGGAGGGTGGAATACACCTCAAAATCTACATGGAGCAATTGCTGTAATTCCTAACCACATACATTTACAAAACCTTTATTCAATTTCTAAAATAACCGCCAAATTTCCTTAAAATCTAAGAGTAAATGTAAGAAACATAGCACTTTGAAACATACACCCTGAATTCCATCTCATACGGCGCGGCGGCCCCAGGACGGGTACAGAGTCCGTGGGGGTACGGCCAGGATAAAAAGAGTTAAACAAAAAGAAGGGGGGGAAGGACACGAAGAAGAATACCACAAACTGTGTGCACAAAAATATGACAGCTGTTATGAGAAATTTCCAGGAATGGATTTCAGATGAAACAAAAGTCATATTTGTACTTGACTAGCTTACAATCCCTGCACACACTATGTTTTCATGCTTTTTTGAAAACAAACCAACACTTATTTACCTGTATCAAGAATATACAAGTCGTTGAACCAGCCAAACTCTGCTCCATCTTGTTCTTGTGACTCAGGAATATCCTCAAATTCTTCATCATCATCACTGTCAGCACCCAGCTTGACAGAAGAGAAAAAGAAAGAAAACCCCCCCCACAACATTAATAAGATAAGAGCGGCATTATCCAGCAGTTTTTAAGAATAAAAGCTCTAAGACAGGGCAGCTCACCAGTAGGGCTTAAGAAACAGGAAATTTGCAGAAATCATATTTCTTTATTAATATATATATGCTGACCAGTTTTGGAAATCTGTTATGCCAGAATGTATATATTTTATATAAAAAAATAAAAAGCTTAACTTGTATGGAAAATAAAGAAGGGAAGTTAAAGAAAAAAACACAGCAAACATATAATGGGAAGATGACATATAGTTTGTAAAGCTATCATATTGCAGATCAGGCACAAGAAAACCACACCATGAAAACTTACGTCCACTGCTTCTGCTTCATCGGATTTTGGACCAAACCCGCCAAAATAATAAATTTTTGAGTCGATGGCCACAGCTTGTAATTTATCTCTTGCCCTTGGTTTGGTTCCTTCGGTCTCCAATATTGCCCAAGTGCTGGTAACTGAAGTAAAAGCATTCAGTTGTTTTTTTACACAAATAACAGACAATACCAGAGGGATGTTACACACTTTGGGTTCTGTTCAGCAAAAAATGGGGACCTGGCAACTAATACCATTTGAGTGAAGTTTGTACTCAGGCAAAGTGGTTTTTGTTTCTGTACGCTTTAAAGCACTTCTGCAACACACACAATCAGGTCATAAGTGCCAAAGATTAGAGGTGTTACAAGAGAATAATGAACACAAAAAAGGAGAGATTTAAGACGACAGATGTTTGACAAAAAAGAAGGAGCATACCACATCAGAACACCTGTCAACCATCCATTCAGTCAATGAGGCTTCCAGTTACCTCAACCATGAGCCTTGCATGAACGGACATATTCTCTCTATAGAGTAACAACAAATAGTAAAGAGAAATGATTTCGAAGTCAGATCCAACCTTTCCTCCCATTATAACACAAAGACAATATAATTAAACTCATTACATTTAATTCTTTTAACACTTGACACAAAAAGGTATAAAAGTAGCATCCCAAGGAAGTACTTATTCAAAAATTGTACTGTCAGTATCTAAATTAATAAGGGATGAGGTAATCACCCAGGCCTGGATTTGCCAAAATTGGAGGACGTGGCCAGGGACAGACAAGTGTGGCATCGATTGCTCTCCGCCTTATGTACCTGACGGTTTAGGAAGAGAGTAAGTAAGTAACAAGCTTTTAAAATATGAGCAGATACAACAGGAACCCAGGTATACAAAATGTTGTACCAGTATCAAAGATGAATGTGTCATCAAACCATCCAGACATGTGGCTGAGGCCTCCAAATAAGTATAAGCTTGTACCAACAGCAACAAACGAGCCTGCTGATCTCGATGGTGGTAATGTGCCTGAGACGTTTGGTCTTGACCATTTCCTCGTGTCTGAAATTTAAAAAATAATCATCAGTAAAAGTATACTATATCGGCAGGCAATTCTTTATCATAAAATTTTGTTTGACAATCATTTTTACAAAATATGCTCATTTAACAGTTAATGCTACGACTATATATACAGTGGAACTCGGATTCAACGAAGTGAGATAGATTCCCCGTTTTCTTCTTCCTTAAAATCAATAAAAATAACCCGGACTCAACGAGCACTTAAATTAGCGAGCTTGGATTCAACGAGGTCGCTTCCAGGGTGAACAGCCCCAGCAGACGTGGCTTCGCTAATTTTTCTCCTAGAACGAACTTGATCTATTCCCGGATTCCCGGAAACCATCCATTGCACTTGCATCGTGAACCATTATTCACTTAACCGATTGCAAACGACCAATCAGCGCCTTTTTTCATACAAACACATGCGTTGTTGGCACACGCACATGTCTATTCTGGCGTGTGTCGGGGTCGGATGGGCGGCCCGCACACGTGTGGCTGTGTGTGCATGTTGGGGAGGGGGGCACTAGCGGTCCGAGCGTTGAAAGTCGCAGATACAAACGCGTCAGTCTCCCCCCCCCCCTTGGCAACTGATCATTATTACAATGATAAGCTAGTCTTGGCGTAGATCTACGTAATGAGTTGTGCGCTGGTCTATGGAATCAAAAGTTGCCGTATGCTAGACTCCACACAGCAACACAACGTTTTGGCAAACAATCAAGATGACACAGGCATGCATTTAATAAAATTTGAACGAATCGGTCATTTCTTTTACACAGCTCATAATATGCAGGCATTTCATTCACTACTTGTCACTTCTCTTTACACATTACTTTCTCAGTGCCTGTAATTATCTATACAAAACCTCACGTTTGCTAAAACGAAAACTCAGATTCAACGAGATTTTAGGTCTGGCCCGGCGACCTCGTTGAATCCGAGTTCCACTGTATATATATACACAAAATACATGATAAAATTGAAACACAAAGATGAAGAATTAGTAACATGCACCCATAATTGGAAATCAATTCAATTTAAATGTTATCCAGTTATCTATAAGAAATGTTCTTAAAAGATGCTTCAATTTTATTGGGACATTTTTATTTAATAACATCTCTCATTAAGCAACTGAAGAGCAAATGTAAGAACTTTCTTGCAATGTAACTGAGTTTTTACTCAAAAGGCTTGGCAGATGATGCAACATGAAGATTTGACCCAATATAATACAAGAAACTGTGGTTGGGTTATGTGTCAAATTATTTGATCAATATATTTTTTTCTTACAATTTGATCATGAAGTTCTTTATATTTTAAACAGGACTCCCGGAAAGTACTGCAGGGGGGTTTCAACAAAATAGGAACAGTAGCAAAATTGGTAACTGGACTCTGTGATAAAATTTATGAAGCAACAACCTCATCAACAAACAACCCCAGATTTCTATTATATATATATAATTTCTCATTCAGCTTACCTAAATCAAACATGAGCAGCTCATTGGTTTCTTTCGGTTCTTCCCACTGGCCTTGCTCTACCCCACCAAAAATGTAGACTTTATTGCCAACACTGCAGGCAACTTGACCTTCTCGACCAGTGTATGGGAATTCTGAGGTATTTGCGACTTTCTCCACATGAACAGTGATTTTTCCACTCTCATGGTCTCCGTTTACAGTTCCATTCATGATGCTTGCATTTAAACAGTGCTTGGAAGGATTGTGGGTCTTGCACACAGCTGAAGTGAAGAGAAAAAAGAAATATTGTCATTCTTATACTCTTACATTTCAAAAGTAACAGCCGAAAGCGTAACTGATTCAGTTAGAAAGTGAGATAATACAGTTCAGAGCTTATGGTTCCTGTGTAGAGATGAAAAAAAAACTTTCTTTATAGTAAAATAGGGAATTTTTAAAATTGATGATCCGTCTGTTTTCTCCCCTCCCCTTCCCCCTCTTGTCCATAAATAGGGCCTGTCCCAACAATGCCCAATGATTCTTTTCTCAAACAAAATATCCATTGAGAATCTTCAAGATGTGCACATTTTCACTTTGATAGAGGCTAGACAGCTGGGCTAGTCGTACTAATATGATGGCTAGACTGACCCCCCAAAAAGGCCTACTGAATTGTAAATAAAATTTAGTTTGCAGCAAGTACCTAAAGTATTTGTATTTGAGACGAAACCAGGTGCAACTGACAGTGCATATAAACCTGAATAATTACTGATGAGACTTGTTTTCTAATGTTAATAGGCCCTAAGATAAGTACGACTAGACTGGCTGGCTAGCCGTACTTTTAATAATGATGGCTGAATTGTAAATGAAATTTTTAGTTTGCAATGCCTTTTTAAAGCATTTGTATTTCAGACAAAACCAAAAGGTGCCTTACTGACTTGCATGTACTTTAAACCTGAATTTAATTACTAGTAATACTAGATCTAGATCTAAAGAGACCTGTGTACTCAACAGGTTTGGGGCCAGCTCTATTCGGACTCGAGTCTGAATATAATTTTAATCTATTCGGACTCAATGGGTTTTATCTATTCGGACTCGGGTCTGAAAAAAAAAAGGTTTTATTTAATCAGACTCAGCTTCTAAGTGAGTTTGAGTGTAAGGAGGTTACATTATATATATAAATGTCATTGGGGGATTTTATGTAAAACTAGAATTAGAACTAGAATTGCCCACTACGACTGTGTAATTGTGCCAAAAGTCAAAGGACTGCACTCTCATTAGATCTACCCAACAATGACAGTGTCTAAATACATGGTAACCAACAACTCAGGGTCTTTCCACCACCACTATAGCATCATCATTACTTCCACCACCATTTGTCTTTCCAATGTTTAATTTCATTTTGTAGTGTGTTATACTTTTTCTGTAATTATTATTTTTTTAATTACATTGCACAAAACCGACAGCCGTGGTCTCTTCCCAACACCTTTTCCACCAGCAAGCCGACAGAGCAAGATCGCTACGCGCAATCTCATTGGTCGACATAAATTAACTTTGCCCCCGGCAAGGTCAGCCCAACTTAGTCGTTCTGTTCACACTAATGATGTAGGGAGGGCCAGTTTAGATAGATCTAGATCTAGTAACTGGATAATAAAACTCACGTCTCGACTGTTATTATTATAATCGAAAAAAAGTTCATACATGCTGGAAATATTTAGGAGAACAAAGGTTGGAAGTCGGAAGGGACGTCATGCTGGACTCAATTCAGAGTCCGAATATAATTTTTCTCTATTCGGACTTGAGTCCAAATAGTCACTTCGATCCCTATTACTTGATGCGAGCAAATAATGTAAATAAAACATTATAATCTAGATCTAGATCTAAGTCAATATTAAACGCATTATTTATCTACATTGGATTTTGAATGATTTTATCATTGAATGACTATTTCTCCGAATATTCGGGATAAAGTTGAACTTTATTTCTCCAAACGGTTACCGATCTCGAGATTATTTGGTTATTTGCGAGATTTAGGCATCATCTTTTTATTTGACCATTCTGCAAGGACTGGGAAGAAGCATTTTGTGCATCTAATTCAGTTTCTAGAGCTAGAGATTTTTAAATGTCTGAATATTCAGATACTTCAGTTGTGATTGGGGTAACGTTCCCGGACTATACTTCATTTGAAAAAACCTTCAGAAGGTACTGCGAGAAAACAAGACTGATCGACCTTGGCAGTAACCCATTTTGCATTATAAGTCACCCAACAAAAACTAAAATCCTTCATGTAACCCCCCCCCTTCACACACGCCGACACACACAATGCACACTCACGGGCCACCCACTCCATTCGCTTCGTCAAATCTCAAGAACGGAAATCGTTCGGAGAAATAAAGTTCAAGTTTATTTTCGAACTGGCTAGCCTGAGAGTCTAGCTGTACTTAGATCTAGGTTTGGCCCTATCGACTCAAACCTGATTAGTACACAAGTCTCAATAGATCTAGATCTAGATCTAGTAATTATTCAGGTTCAAATACATGCAAGTCAGTAAGGCACCTTTTGGTTTTGTCTGAAATACAAATACTTTAGGCATTGCAAACTAAAAATGTCAGTTACAATTCAGCAATCAATATTAAGTACGGCTAGCCTGATAGTCTAGCCGTCCTTAAGTACGGCTAGCCTTGCTGTCTACCCGTACTTTTTTTTTGCACGGCTAGACTGCCAGTCTCGCCGTACTTATCTTAGGCCCTATTAACAACATTAGAAAACAGGCCGGCACTATTTCTCCGAACGTTCGGGAAAATAAAGCTGGGCACTATTTCTCCGAACACTCTGAAATCTCATCCTTTCTCGCAAATTTCGGATATTATATAGATCTATAATTATAGTATAGGCCTACCAAAGATTGTTCGTGTACAATATGGTTCAAGCGGTCCAAAAAATGTCCTCAGTAAATATTTATATAAAGAAATGCTACATTTCCAAACAGTTTTTCGCTACAGATATGGCGTGTTGCCTATGAAGGGTACTGCTCTTAAACGTAATGTGTTGTGTTCACTCGTGTGCTGTCTAGATCTAGATCTACGGAGGGTTATTGATAACGACACATAGAACTGCTGCGACCAATGTACTGACACTGGCAAAGCCCCTTAATGTGTGTGATTCCATAATTTATATGTAATATCCTGTACTTTTTTAAAAATTACGCACATTTAGGGTTAAAACAGCCAATCTTCTTCGGACAGGTGGACACTCGTCTTTATTTTTAAATGTTTGTTGTTATTTATGGGCTGTTCTAATTTTGATTTCTTTCTGTTGTGAAACCTTTCTTTTTCACGTTTTTACACTCATCTAAAAATCTCTAGACTAGCTCTTGAAAATTGAAATAGATAAAATAATATAGACCCAAAAATTTGCTCCTGTGTGTGTGTGTGTGTGTGTGTGCGTGCGTGCGTGTGTGAGTGTGTCTGTGTGTGGTAGTAAGTGGAGAGTGAGGAGTGTGTGTGTGTGTGTTTGTTTTTCGGGCTTTATTTCAGCCTTTATTCATTAACAGTTCAAAGTATACAAAATAGAAACACAGGATCCATTCACTCCAGGGCTCATGAGTTATTCGTCTCTTTCAGTTTCACTCATTCATTCAATTCCCGTGTTCTCTCCCGCGGCTCATCCCTGTCCGCATGACTTTCATACCCCACCCCCTCCCTCCAGGCACACACAAAGAAAATCTCACTCATTCCCTTGCACCCTGCGAACCATGGACAATAATATAGGCAAAACACTGCCTGAGCTGCATTCCTTTCTTTCGTGAGCTGTGGACCAGGCCAGGGGGGTCGGTGTCGTCGTCTTGTAGTTGCTGTCGCCTGTGGATACTCTCGCACATTCTTCCTTTCACCCGCTCTTTCACTCACACTGTCTCTCCATCCACAGCTCAGTTCGTCATACGTTCAAAAGTTGCCCACTGGTCATGTTTAGTTAGTGTGTGTACATGATGGTGGTGTGTGTGTGGTAGGTGTTACTGAAGGTTGTCTGTAGGCGGGCTTGTCATGCGGTGTTCCTTCCCAGATCAGAGGAAGAATGAAAGTTGGCGCCGAACTCTCGCAATAAATAAATAGGCAAAAAATCACGAGACCGGAAGCCGGAAACCGTTCGGAGAAATAGAGATCGGCACTATTTCTCCGAACGTTCGGAGAAATAGTGAATAGTCACTTCGTAGAAAACAGGAGGTTTAAAATACATGCACTGTCATTAAAAGGCACCTGGTTTCGTCTCAAATACAAATACTTTAGGTACTGCAAACTAAAAATTAATATTTTTACAATTCAGTAGGACTATTTTTTTTTTATGGTCAGTCATTAAGAATGGGAGTGTATACAGACCCGGTAACCGGGAACAATTACAAAGACAAAGTCACAAAGTATACAGACCCGGTAGGGGAACTCTTTTGTGATTTCTGAAAGTTTCAGCCCACTCTTGGCTCAGGGTAGACCTAGGTTCTTCTAGATCTATGGCCTAGGTCTAGACAGACAGACATAAATCATTGATCTAGTTTCGAGGTTAGGCATAGCCTAGATCTAGATGTCTAGATTTCTAAATGAAGACTGCGGATGTCTTTTCGATGAATGATCGTTTTTCCTCCGTTTTTGGAGTTGGAGGAATCACAATTTGAAGAAAAGAACAATGTCATAATTTCAATCGAGCAGTCACCCTCTCTATATCTCTCTCTCTCTCTCCTCTGTCTCTGTGTATCCCTTGCATTCTCTTTTTCTTTGTTTGTCTCTGTCTTTCTTTCTCTCCACCTATTTCCCACTCTATCTTTCTCTCGTTCCCTCCTGTCAACTTGGGCATGTCATACATTTTGCTAGCACTGCCCCCTGCTCTCTCTCTCCTCTCTCATTCACACACACACACTACCGGGTCTGGGCTGGGCGCTGAAACTTTCCGACTTCACAAAAGAGTTCACCTACCGGGTCTGTATACTTCATGACTTTGTTCCCGGTTACCGGGTCTGTATACACTTCGATTAAGAATAAAATAAGTACGGCTAGCCCAGCTGTACGGCTAGCCTCTTCCGTTTATTTTCCCGAATGTTCGGAGAAATAGAGCCAGCCTTTATCAAACTGCGCAAAAAAAAAAAAAAGGTAGCTTTTGAGCCTTTTGTTGGGAGGACTTCCGTAACGAGCGACCACTATGAGACAGAGCAGAATTGAGGGCTTGGGGTAGGGGGTAAGGGTAGGGTTCGGGGTAGGGTTAGGGTTAGGGGTAGGTCTAGGCCTCTTCTTTATTGTGTGTGATGGGGTGGTCGCTCGTTATGGAAGTCCTTCCCTTTTGTTTGTACCTCCATGATGGAAAGTCTGGCCACCCTCCAATGCATCATCCAACCATATGAAAGAATTTGATATCTGGCAGGTGACGCACATCAAAAAGTAACTAAGTAATCGTAGAACCAGAAGTAAAATGGGGGAGGCCTTCCGTAACGAGCGACCACTATACTATGAGGCCACCTCTATTCTCACCCGGAGTGAGAATAGTGCAGGCGAGTCTTGTGGCTATTCTCACCCGGTGCGCGTTCACCCTAAACCACAGAATTCTACACTGTGATTTACAGAAAAATTGTAGAATTCTGTGCCGTGAACAAACGTTCCATTACAACTGAGTCAACTGTAGCCTACTAAAAGCGTACAATTTTGTCTGTGGGCAGTGGAGAGAGAGAGAGAAAGAGAGAGAGGAGTAGCGCGAGAGTTTCGGGCAAAACAAAATGGCGACACGCGTAGTTCGGCTCGATTCGAAAAGTTTTTATAGCCGTAGCATCTTTGTAGACAACCAAATTAATTTACTTTTGTGTTTTAACATCATTTTTTAACTTTGTTTTGATCAATTTGATCGTCCACACCGATAGACAGTATTCAGAAAGAGACAGAGAGAGAGAGAAGAGGGGAGGAGTTGATCTTGTGAGAACTTCCGGGCGGGTGAGAATAGCCACTTTCATACTAAGTTACTAGATCTAGATTAGATTTAGATTTCTAGATCATGCTATGAGACAGAGCAGAATTGAGGGCTAGGGGTACGGGTAGATCTAGAGGTAGGGGTAGGGTTAGGGTTTGGGTTAGGGTCAGGCCTCTTCTTTATTGAATTGTGTTTGATGGGGTGGTCGCTCGTTACGGAAGTCCTTCCGTTGGTGGGGTCAAAACTAGATCTAGTAGATCCTCTATCGCCAACGCCAACGGCAACGGGACCGCAATTGTACAGGAGTGCCGAGTTATGAGCTCGTCGATATTGATGAAATTGAATCAGCCCATTTACAATTACAATTCCACTGTGCATAAAAGAACATAGATCTAGATATCTAGATCTAGATATCTATTACTATTTTATTAATGTCCGGAATGGCCTACCTAAACTAACTAAATCTAAGTCTAAAGACACTGGTGGACAGTCAGTTGTGTCAGGCTTCCCCCCTCGGGGAGGGGGGGGGGGGGGGGGGGCTATACCTAGAATCTAGTCTACCTCTAGATCTAGCTATATCAGAGAAAAGAAATTTTGAGAAAGAGCGTTACCTTCTTGACCTGAACTAGTTACTTACACTGGTTTTAGTGGTAGGCCCTGTTGTGTATAATGAATTTAATGCAGGGGCCAAACTTTCGCAGACTTTCGCTTCCTCTTGGCCTTTCGTTTCCCGCGACGAGGAAGAAACACTTGCTGACAAAGAAATGTCAATGCCAGACATACTCAAAGAGTTCATGAAGTCATGAAGCTCATTATGTTTTATGAAATTCTATTGCACAAATAGGAAGAAAGGGAGTGTTTTTTAAAACAATTTCTATTCCACAAATCAGCCTTAGCTCGAAAGAAAATAGTTTGTGATCAATAAACAAACGTTCAAAATAAAGTTTACAGATTTATGGAAGCAGCTTAACTGGTATAGATTTTCTAACTTGCCAAGCTATTGAAGCTCTTTAGTTTTCCGAGGTCAAGCAGTTCCAGCACGGAGCTCTTCAGAAACTAAGGGAATTTATGCTCTAGTAGAGAAACAAACATGTCTGTCAAGTTCTTGATTCTCTGATGACTTGAAGTGCATGTAGGCTGCAATTTTATAAATGTAGATGCTGGTTTCCCAACTGTATTTCCTTATGACTACATTCTTCATTTAATTAAATTGCTTTCTCATCAAAATCACCATATGACGATTGCTCTCCATTTCACTCAAGAGCGAAGCAAATATGAAAGGCAAGGGACCGAAATGAAATCATGAATGAGAGTGAGAAGACCTCGGGCCTCGATCGCCCAGGCTCCTCTTTTATCTTCCTCGGTAGAGCTCAGCCTTAGGCAGGTCTTCTTCTTGAGACTTTTTGATGTGTTACACTGTGAATTGTGGTGTCTCTAACAATATGAGACTCTAGATCTACTAGGCTACTTTAAATAGAAATATTGCCAGGCTGTCACTATCTAGAATCGAGGATTCTATTCTAGGCTAGGCCTGGCCTAGCAAAGTGTATACAGACCCCGTAACTGGGAACACATGCGACTACACGCAGGGGATAAACCTGGCTACGATTGGCTGAACTTTTGACCCATGAATACATTAAGTAGGCCTACGGTAGGCTACTCTCCTCTTGGCGCTCTCGACGTCACCCTCCCTGTCGCTCTCACCACCCTCCCTCTGTAGTAGTGTAGTGTAGTAGTAATGTTTCTGCCCCCCCCCCCCTCATCTCTCTCTCTCTCTCTCTCTCTCTCTCTCTCTCTCTCTCTCTCTCTCTCTCTCTCTCTCTCTCTCTCTCTCTCTCTCTCTCTCTCCCCCTCCCTCTCCCTCCCAAGCTGGGGTAAGAAAAGAAAAAGTCCTCAAGTTGTATTATGTATTACTGAGCCTTTGCCAAACAAAGTGACTATTCGGACTCGAGTCCGAATATGAAAAAATATTATTCGGACTCTGATTCTTGTCCAGCATGACATCACTTCCAACTTCCTGCGACTCGTGACTCCGGCTTCCTGTCCTGCCTCACTCGTGACTCGCCTCAGGCTGGGTAGAGACCGGGATCACTTCGGGCAAAATGGCGTTTTGTGCAGGAGCCGAGTTTTTATCTTATGATGAATTTGAGGCCGGCCTGAAAAGTTATAGCGCTTCTAATTAAAGTTTATTTGTCAAGAGGTCATCAGAAGCAATTAAAGATGGCTCGTTAGCGTGTGTCGGGGTCGGATGGGCGGCCTGCACACGTGTGGCTGTGTGCGTGTCGGGGGGGGGGGGGGGGGGGCACTATCGGTCCAGGCGTTGAATGTCGCATACGCATCAGTCTTTTTTTCCCCTGCAACTGATCATTATTGCAATAATAAGCTAGTCTTGACGTAGATCTACGTAATGAATTGTTCGCTGGTCTATGGAAACAAAAGTTACCGTATGCTCAGCTCTACACAGCAACACGACTTTTTCTTGGTAACCTAAACAATCGAGATGACACAGGCTTGTGTATTTGAACGAATCGGTCTTTTTTTTTTTACAGCTCATAATAATATGCAGGTGCCAGGTGGTCTGCTAATCTTCAATTTTACCTTTTTCTACAACAAAGAAAGTGGAAAACATGGGGGGTGGGGGGGGGGGGGGGCTTATCAATGAGGCGGCGAGCATCGGATCGGCAGAAAAGGTGTGGAGGGAACTAAAAAATGGCGGAAAATGGGAAGCTCTGAACGTTAGATCTTTAGAACGAAGACACTTCCTTTTTTCTGGACCCGAGTCCGAATAACATTTTTTCATATTCGGACTCGAGTCCGAATAATAATTTTTAAAATTTGGACTCGAGTCCGAATATTAAAAAATGTTATTCGGACTCGAGTTCGAATAACGACAGCCTTTGCCAAAAGGTGTGGGTGTTTGCATCAGAGGACTTTTTAAATCAACCACTTCTCATGGAAAAATATGTTTTCTTCTTATGAAAATATTGTGCAAGGAAATAAGCTGGTCAAGCTGCATGAGCAAGTAGATTGATGTGTGCATCTTATAAATATCTCTTCATAGAAAGATAATAGTACTAAAAATAGGGCATTTTTTACTCATTCTGAGTGCACACGTAATTGTATGTTAAAAACTGGCTTACTACTGGGCCCTTTCACCAGTCTCAAGCGTTGAAGACTGGCGTTTTGGGGAGTATTTCAATAAACCACCTCAACTCTCAGAATTACTCTATTGTAATTATTTTTTGACACAGTAAAGTAACATTCAAGCTTATCTACAAAAAACTAAAGTTGTAACATGTGGTAATACTTTTATTTGCATGGTTTTTTTAAAGGCCACCTCTATTCTCACCCTGGTGGGCGTTCACCGTTATAGCCTAGGCCAACCAGTGAAGCGTTCACCCTGAACCACAGAATTCTAAACTGTGATAACAGAATTATAGAATTCTGTGCTGTGAACAAACGTTCTAGATCTATTACTACTATTAGTGTTTTTCTAAAAGCGTGCAATTTTGTCTGTGTGCAGTGGAGAGAGAGAAAGAGAGAGAGAGAGGAGTAGCGCGAGAACTTCCGGGCAAAACAAAATGGCGACCCGCGTAGTTCGGCTCGATTCGGAAAGTTAAATAGCTGTAGCATCTTTGTAGACACCCAAATTAATTTAGTTTCGTTTTTTTTTACGTCATTTTTTAACTTTGTTTTGGTCAATTTGATCGTCCACACCAATAGACAGTATTCAGAAAGAGACACAGAGAGAGAGAGAGAGAGAGAGAGAAAGGGGAGGAATAGATCTTGCGAGAACTTCCGGGCAAAACAAAATAGCGACCCGCGTAGTTCGGCTCGATTCGAAAAGTGAAACAGTCATAGCATCTTTGAAGACGATCAAATTAGCTTCCTTTTGTGCTATAACGTAATTTTTTCTTGGCTTTTTATCAATTTGACCATCCACACTGATAGACAGTATTCCAAAATGAGGAAAAACAGGTCTTGTTTCACACCGGATGAGAATAGCCTACGCTGGCAAGTCTCACCCGGGGTGAGAGTTGGATCGTATTTTTATTCTCACCCCGGGTGAGAATAGCCACTTCCTTTTTTAAAATTGGCATGAATTTTATTTTCTGAAAAATTTCCAGAGACGTGACAGGTAGAATGAAATTCACAAAAACAACAAAAATAAAAGTTCAAAGTTTTCTGTTTTGATTTGTATGCATGTCTGAGTGTTTGGTGAAAATATAAAACTGGTCTGTGTGTTGATTCAGACCCATACACTGAATTACATGAGACAGATGTACGGCACGACGTTGTGATTTCGCTGCGCGAATAACAACACCAATATTAGTGCTAGATATATAACCCTAAAACTATGACTAGGGCCGTGTTCGGGTACATAAGATCCTAACTGTCAGACACGTCATATTCTGAGACACTAGAACTAGTAAAACGTACAGAAGTATCGAAAACGGCGAAATTATGTGATTCTTGTTCATGCGACTTCTTTGACCGTTACTACGACGCGACTGTCGGATTACTATCAGATGTAGGAAAAAACATAGCGCGAGTTCCGGTCAGTTCAACCCCTGGTGGGGTGACTGTACTTAACCTTCAATAACTTAAAAACTGCCGGCCCCAGAGATACGAATCGAAGTGTAAGTAGCTCAGGCCTGGTAAAACAAGGGTACGAGGCGGGTCACGCGATCCGTACGTGATTTGTAGAGCAAAAAATAAATTTCAAAGTTGATCACCCAGGGCTTGTGGGGGTCACGCATCTGTTGTGTCAATCGTCTGAAGTGAGTAAAATACAGAATATTGTTAATCTTAAACTATCAAACAGTAGTGCATTCAAACACTGAAAATATTTTGTATACACCATCATAACACCGTGTGTCCATTAACAGGGGTTTATTTTTTTATGATGTTATTTTGATGTTACTGCCTGAGTAAAATTTATAAATTCGTTCATTACTCGTGTCATAATTACATCATCAGACTTTCCAAGGTCTAGAAAATCCAAATCGTTAAACATATAATATATATTATCCCCAGGAATGACCAGTATTAAACATTGGATTGACATTGATTTCATTGATCCATCAGAAGGGTAATTTTCTGCTCCGTCGCATGGTTTTGCTTAAATATGACTTTGATTGAGATAATCCAGGTTTGTCATTGTTATGAACAAGCACCTTATGATATTTCTGCAAAATATCATGTGAGGGTCTTGTCACTGTTTCACAACATCCTTTTACATGGTGGCATAAACATGGATGAGTAGCGTGCTGATGACTCTAAAGAGAAGCAAAGAAGAGGCAAATATATGCTTGTCATTATAATGGATTGTCATCATGTTATGAACGTGACAGTGTGTCATAATGGTTATGAACGAAACCTTATTCCATGTAATTTAAAGTTGTTTTGGGATGTATTTTTAATTTTAACCTAACTTAAGGATGTATTAAACCTTACTAACATTCTGATATTTTGATTTTTATCATGTGCATTTACTGAAAAACCTTAAGAATACCGTTAAAATGGTTCGTTCTCATAACAATATGACAAACTTCAATTTTGACCTAAAAATTAATTTAATACATTTTGATCTGTTATTCATTTTCAAAAACTTTTATTAAATGAAACTCTCCTCATAATATGTATCTGTGTACATGTTTTTAAAGTTTATTAACACTGAAAAGACCTCAAAATATATTAAATGGACAATTAATAGTTTGTTCATAACCATTACTCTGTCCTCAGAGAAATTCGCACCTGCAACCCACAAGTTGCGCTCGCAACTTTTGCCCTCAGCGCAACCTTTGCGCAGCTTTTATCATTTTCGTGATTTCGCTAATTTTAGCCAATTTCCCGCAAAATTTGGGAAAATAATAATAAAATTTCATTAAAAACACCGAATTTTTCTTCAACGACTAAAAGTAAAGACGCTAAGGGGGACAATTCGCTCCTTTGCACTAAGTGCCGCCGCCCAGTCAGTGACCCCGGCCCGGTAAGGTCGGGTCGGGATGATCGCCCATCTCGTCGCCTCTAAACAACGTGTTTGTTTTGAAACAACGAGTCGGGCGCGATCGACTTGTGCCACGATAGCCGCTTTGCACTATCAATCTGGCGAGCAAACGGACTAAATAGTCTTGTTTGGACAGAATCATC